TTAGATGATGAGTTCCTGGTCCTAAACTCAAGACTAATGCTGTAGTGTGCTGAGACCTTCAAGAAAGGGATCTGAACTCCTGTGGCCCCAAAAAACACGGTGATGGCTCCTCTCCAGCTGTTCCTCTTCCTCATCCTACCTACATATGCTGCTCCTCACACAATGGTGCAGATTCAATTTTTCTTTCTTTTGACTATGAGCTAGATTTGTGACTCACTTTGATCAACAGAATGAAACGGGAATGGCAGCCTGGGGCTCCTGAGCCCAGGCCTGGAGGTCCTACTTCCTCTCTGAAAATCCAGCTGCCATGCTGTGAAGAACCTTGGGCTAAACTATGGAATGATGAGAAATCATAAGAAGAGATCAAAGGCTAATTCCATGTCTGTGCCATGGGACCTAGATATTTGGTCCGTCATACCACCTGGATGTTGCTGTAAAGGCAATTTTTAGATGAGAATAATATTTAAACTGTAGACTTGAGTAAAACAGAATACTTGTCCTAAGTTGGTGGCCTTGTCCAAACAGTGGAAGGCCTTCAGAAAAATGACTACTGGCTTTTGAGGGAGAGAAATTCCAACAAAGGTGTCATCAGGCTTGAGGTGCAACATTCACTCTCCCAGGCGTCTGCACCAATATGATCTGTCCTGCAGATTTTGAACTTTCCAGTTTCAGCACAACGTTAGACAATTTTTAAGATCTCTCTCTGGCCAGTGCCATGGCTCACTAGGCTAATCCTCTGCCTGTGGCACCAGCACCCAGGGTTCTAGTCCCGGTCGGGGGGCCGGATTCTGTCCTGGTTGCTCCTCTTCCAGTCCAGCTCTCTGCTGTGGCCCAGGAAGGCAGTGGAGGATGGTCCAAGTGCTTGGGCCCTGCACCTGCATGGGAGACCAGGAGGAAGCACCTGGCTCCTGGCTTTGGATCGTCACAGTGCACTGGTTGCAGCGCGCTGGCCGTAGCAGCCATTTGGGGAGCGAACCAATGGATAGGAAGACCTTTCTCTCTCTCTCTCTCTCTCTCTCTCTCTCTCTCTCTCTCTCTCTCTGTCTAAATCTGCCTGTCAAAAAAAAAAAAGGAAAAAAAAAGATCTCTCTCTTGGCACAGCAGTTAAGGTGCCACTTGGGATGCGGCATTCCATATCAGAATGCCTAGCTTCATGTCCCAGCTGTGCACCGGATTCCAGCTTCCTGCTAATTGCTCCCCAGAAGCCAGCATCTGGGTGCTTCTACCTTTGTTGGAGATTCACACGAATTCAAGGATTTTGGCTTCTGCCTGCCTCAGACCTGGCTATTGCAGGTCACTGAGGAGTAAACCAGTTTGTGGGAGAGCTCTGTCTTCATATCTCTCTTTGTCTTTGTGTCTTTATCTTTCTAAAAAGATAAAGTTGATACTTTGATGTTTAAAATCTTTTAAATTCTATATATGTATGCATATCTGTGTGCATGCATATGTATATATGTATATATCTACGTATGTGTAATCTCACACACATACTACTGGTTCTCTCTACGCACATATGCACACATATCTTATTGGTTCTGTTTCTTAGAGAATGCTATTACAGAGGAAGAATGATCCACAGAAGAGTCCTAAGGCTTACTTGTGAGTGAAGCTTCTGAGATTTTCCAGTCCAGCCTCGCTCAATTATGAGTTGAATGTGGCCAAGGTGATACTACCTGGAATAGAACAATCATCCAACCAACCCCTGATCCGACTCAACAACTGGGAGGAAAAAAGATCATTATTTTTTCAAAACATGAAGTTTGGGTTTACTACACAGATTAATGAAACATCCTCTTTTCACCACTCTGTCTCCCATCTTAGCCATGGGCTTACTCTTTGCCAGAGGTTTACCTCAAAGGGTATCCTATGGGCAGCCTGGGCCTGAGAACTTACCAACTTCTAATCTGTAAAGTCCCAATTTCATTCCATTCCAATCAATTATTTGATATCATGGTTACCTCTATTGAACAACCATTTGTGGATACTTAATAGATAAACCAGCTACATTTAGTCAATGTGTAACTTCAGCCTTCTTTTTAGGCTCTATTTATAAAAAGTAGGAAAAAGGGCAAGACCCAAAGATCCTCTACATAGAAAAGCAATCAGGCTTCCTACACACAATCCCATTGGTCCCTGGAGTCTCCAAGTCACAATAAATTCAGGAAAGGACTCATTGGAATGCAAGAAGGGCTGCTGCAGGTGGCACTGAGTCACTCAGTGACATGCAACAAGAATAATTGGACACAGCTTTACACCCCAGGAGAACAGTGTGCGTGAATGGGCACAGACACGGCAGCCTTTGAGGATCCGTGAATAATGAGGTCAATTAAGTCCTGCCTATCATTGTTCAAGGAAAATGTCACACTGCAGCTACCCTGAGACCCAGGCACAGGGCACAGGCCGTGCTGTCACAAGTGGCAAACAAGAGAAGTGGATGCACAGTGCCATGCAGAGCTGCTCAGAGTAAGAATTTGCTCTAATCATGAGCGTGTGATCCCATCTGTCAATGCAGGAAAATAAAATCTGTGAGGACATGTTTGTTTATGTCAAGAGTGCAAATTTCTTGCCCTACTAGCATCCTGAATGGAAAGATATAGCTAAATTTCAACTCAATTTATTGGAACGCTGCTATAGATGCAACAGTACAAAATAGACCATTTACATTATTAACTATTCTATAACCCTAAGCATTGTTCTTCCCCTTCCAGAAAAATCAGGAGCCGACTCTGTGTTTACTGTGTCCTTGTGGTGGACCATTTCAAGTTCATCACAAGAAGCATAGATGAGCCATGAATATTGCACATTTACATGTAATCAAACAGCTTTGGCCTTTACCATGGAGCTCTGTTAGTGAGCATTATCTTCCGATTATAGTTTTGTCAAAAACTCTAGTTTGTATATCTAGGATCTAGATAGCACAGCTTGCAAAATCATTCTGGCAGCTTCATTTTTCTTAAAAACCCTTTCCAAAATGGGCTCACCTTAAAAGATGGCAGAAAAGATTTTTCCGATGGACTCTGCCATCCCTCTCATGTCTTAGTGTTCCTTATGATCCTTTAAATAACAAGGAAGTCACAATGTTTACCTAATTTTTATAGCATGAAGACAAAATTGTAGTTGAAGAAGTGAAGATATAGGCAGTGCCTAAATTTAAGAATTTTACAGTCTCATGTCTTTACTCATAGTCCAAGGAAAATTGTGAAAATTAATTGTGCTGTAGCTTTCCGTCATCAGGACGTCAGTGAAGCTCCTGAGAGCGTCTCTGCTCTACTTCTAAGAAGTCAGAGCCCCTCATTCCCTTTCAGTGTCACCTGTCCCGGCCTGTGCTCCAAGACTCCAGGTAGCACTATCATGTTCACAGCCTCCACTGAAATAACCTTCCTCTGCCTGTGCTGGCCTCTCATCACTACTTGGTCATTGCTTACTCATACTCATGCCCTAGTTGACTTGGGTCACATACTGCACAGTGGTTATTCCCATCCATTCCACACCCCTTGTTCTCTTTTCTGCCCCAGGCTCTCTCACTAATCAGCCTTCTTTGTACCCAGTGGAAGACATTAAATTTTCATATCCTCCCTCTTCTCTACTTCAGAAACACTGTGAGTCCCCCTGCATCCTCACCTCTTTCCTCTGCCTTCTGATTCTGATTTCCCAGTCTCCTGCCTAAATGTGATTGCTTCAGGGACAATAATGCTCCACTGTTTATTATTTTTTTTCAAAAGACAAGCTTTTCGTTTCACTTATCTTTTGTGTTTTGTTTGTTTCAATTTTGTTTATTTTACTCTAGTTATTTCTTCCCTTTCCTACTATTTGGGGGTTTGGTTTGTTTTGTTTTTCTAGGTCCTTGATATGCATTGATAGCTCATTTATTTGATGCCTTTCCAATTCTAGATGTAGGCATCAATTGCTATAAGCTTCCCTCTTAACACTGTTTTCACTGTATCCTATAAATCTTGATATGTTGCATTATCATCTTCATTCATTTCCAGAATTTTTTTTATTTCTCTTTTGATTTTTTCTATGATCCACTGCTCATTCAGGAGCATATTACTCAGTCTCCATGCATTTGCATATGTTCCAGAGATTCTTGAGTTGTTAATTTCCAGCTTCATTCCATTGTGGTGAGAAAAGTTACATGGTATGATTTCAATTTTTTTTTGAATTTGCAAAGATTTGCTTTATAACCTAGAATATGGCCTATCCTAGATAAAGCTCCATGCACTGCTGAGAAGAATGTGGATTCTGTAGCTATGGGATTAAAAGTTCTGTAGATATCAGTTAGAACCATTTGGTCTACAGTGTACAACAGCTCTGCTGTTTCTTTGCTGATTTTCTGTCTAGTTGATCTGTCCATTGATGAAAGTGGGGTATTTAAGTCCCCCATCATTATCATATTGGAGTCTATGTATCCCCTTATATCCATTGTTTTTTAAATTGCCAGGTCTTGGGTGCATATAAATTTATTATAGTCACATCTTCATATTGGATTAATCCATTTATCATCATATACTGACCCTCTTTTTCTCTTTTAACAGTTTTTATGTTACACCATTGGCCCAACTAACCAAAAAAAAAAGAGGGAAAGCGGGAGACGATGCAAATTAATGAAATTAGAGATGAAAAAGGAAATGTAACAAAAGATACCACAGAAATTTTTAAAAATTATCAGGAATTACTACAAACAGTTATATGCCAACAAATTGAAAAATCTAGAAGAAATGTATAGATTTTCGGATTCATACAAACTACCAAAATTGAGTCGTGAAGATATAGAAAACTTAAACAGACCAATAAACAAGACAGAGACTGAATCAGTAATAAAGACATTCCCAAAGAAATTAATGGCGGCTGGCGCCGCGGCTCACTAGGCTAATCCTCCGCCTAGCGGCGCCGGCAAACCGGGTTCTAGTCCCGGTCGGGGCGCCGGATTCTGTCCCGGTTGCCCCTCTTCCAGGCCAGCTCTCTGCTGTGGCCAGGGAGTGCAGTGGAGGATGGCCCAGGTGCTTGGGCCCTGCACCCCATGGGAGCCCAGGAAAAGCACCTGGCTCCTGGCTCCTGCCATCGGATCAGCGCGGTGCGCCGGCCGCGGTGCGCCGGCCACAGCGCGCCGGCCGCGGCGGCCATTGGAGGGTGAACCAATGGCAAAGGAAGACCTTTCTCTCTGTCTCTCTCTCTCACTGTCCACTCTGCCTGTCAAAAAAAAAAAAAAAAGAAATTAATGGCTTCACTGCTGAATTCTATCAGACTTTTAAAGAACTAATTCTAATTCTCCTCAAGCTATTCCAAACAATTTAAAGAGGGAATCCTTCCAAACTTCTATGAACTATATGTGTATAATATATATAACTATATATATATATATTAGCTAGTATTTTGTTTAAGATTTTTGCATCTATGTTCATCATATGTATGTATATATGTGTGTGTTTGTATACACTAGCTAATCCAATCCAACACATCAGAAAGATCATTCACCCAGATCAAGTGCATTTATCTCTTGTATACATGGATGTCTCAACATATGAAAATCAATAAATGTGACACACTGTATTAACTAATTGAAGAATAAAAACCATATGATTATCTCAATAAATACAGAGAAGGCATTTGATACAATACAACATCCTTTCATGATGAAAACCTTAAGCAAATTGAATATAGAAGGAACATTCCTCAACACAATCAAGGCAGTTTATGACAAATCCACAGCCAGCATATTATTGAATGGAAGACAGTTGGAAACATTTCCATTAAGATTCAGAACCAGACAAGGATACTCATTTTCACTATTGCTATTCAATGTAGTTCTGGAAGTTTTAGCCAGAGCCATTAGGCAAGAAAAAGGAACCAAAGGATATAAATTGTAAAGGAGGAAGTCAAATTATCCCTATTTGCAGATGACATGGTTCTATATGTAGGGAAACCAAAAGACTCCAGTAGAAAATATTGAAACTCATAGAAGAGTGTGGTAAAGTGGCAAGATACAAAATTAACACACAAAAATAAATAACTTTGGAACTAAGAAGTTCAATCCAATTCACAATAGCTATAGAAACAATAAAATAACTTGGAGTAAATTAAACCAATGAGGTGAAAGATCAGTATAATGAAAATCACAAAACATTAAAGAGAAACAAAGACAAAATAATGGAAAAATCTTCCATGTTTGTGGATTGAAAGAATTAATAACATCAAAACATACATACTAATGAAAGCAATTTACAGATTCAATGCAATCTCAAAGTATCAATGACATTTTTTTCAGATCTAGAAAAAATGATGTTAATATTAATATGGAAATACAAGAGACCTCAAATAGCTAAATCAGTATTATATGACAAATACAAAGCCAGAAGAATCACAGTACCAGATTTCAAGTCATACTACAGAGCAGTTACTGGAACAGAAATAGACATGCACACCGATATCATAGAAGTGAAACTCCAAAAATCAATCCACACATAGTCAAAAACTTTGTGAAAAAGACCTCCAGAAGCACAGGCAATCAAAGTCAAAATAGACAAATGGGATTACATCAAGCTAAGAAGTTTCTGCACTACAAAGGAAACACTCAGTAAAGTGAAGAGGCAACTGTCAAAATGGAAGAAAATATTTCCCAAACTATTCAAGTGATGAAAGATTAATATCTAGCATGTATATAGAGCTCAAGAAATGCAAAAACAACAAAACAAATAATCCAGTTAAGAAATAGGCAAAGTACATGAACAGGCATTTTTCAAAAAAGGAAATTCAAATGTCTAACAGACACATGAAAAAATGCTCAGAATCACTAGATATCAAGGAAATGCAAATAAAAACCACAATTACATGGAACCTCATTCTAGTTAGAATGACTCTCACATAGAAATCCGCAAACAAGAAATGCTGGTGATGATGTGGGGGAAAAGTACCATAATACACTGTTGGTAGGAATGTAAACTAGTACAGCCACTATGGAAGACAATATGGAGATCCCTCAGAAAGCTGAAAATATATATACCATAGGACCCAGCAATCCCACTCCTGGGAATTTATGCAAACACAATGAAATCAGCATATGAAAGAGTTATCCATGCCCCCATATTTATTGCAGCTCAATTCACAATATCAGATATAGAATCAACCCAGATGTCCATCAACTAATGGCTGGATAAATAAATTATGGTATATATACACTAAAGAATACTACTCAGTTGTAAAATAGAATTAAATCCTGTTTTGCAACAAAATGGATATAACTGGGAACCATTATACTTAGTGAAATAAGCTAGTTCCAAAAAGACAAAAATCATGTTTTCCCTTATCTATAATAACTAATAGAGTACCAAAAATGTAATGTATAAGAGTGAAATTGACATTTTGAGATTTGATGATTGTTAACAGCCCTTGTCTCCACTGTTGAGGTGCAGAACAGTGTTTTTTCCTTCTTAATATTCATTGAACTCTTTACTTAGTGAAGGGTTAATCTTATGTATAAAGTAAACTGAAAGTGGATCACTGTAAATATAGAGAGAGAATAGGAGAGGGAGGAGAAGGAAGAATGGAATTGTGGCAGGAGATGGCTAAGTTAGGAAGCATCACTATATTCAGTAATCTGTATATATGAAATACATGAAATTTGTGTACCTTAAATAAAATTTAAATAAAATAAATGTAGATGTAAAAATTTTTAAATAATGCTCCTTTGATTGTCCCTTTCTGTCTAACACAGGCAGACATTGTGATAGAGTGGCTAGATGCAGGCCTCCAGAATCTCTCCTGCTTTAATCCTGATACCATTGCTTATTTGTAAGGCTTCTCTGTGACTTGGCCTCCTTATTCAAAATACAGATAATAATAACAAAACTTATTTCTTAGATGCTACATGACAATTCAATCAGTTCAATCAGCTAAAGCATTGAGAACTCTACCTCCTAAATAGTAAGCATCCAAATATTGGAGGCGATTACTATGTTTTGCTGCCCTTAATTTTTTCTCTACTTCAGCTGTTTTCTGGTTTCCTTCATGTGCCTGTGTTTTTGTTAGTTTTCTTTCTCACTTCAGTGCCAATCTTCTTTTGAATGAATGGTTTCTATTTCCTGTTGAACATGCTAATAGCTACCAGACTCAATCCCTGGTCAATTCAGCTGTGGTCCCCACACCAGTCACTCCTTAAATGTCTTTTCTTCATTACTCCATTGACTACCGCTTTCCTTTTAGACATTTCTTGCTTCCCCCTCCTCTCTCGGGAAGCTTCTGATGTTCCTCTTATCTTCAGACTTCTCTGCTTCTCTCGGTCCATTATTTCCCTCAACTCCTAAACTGAGGTGTTCCCTGTGGTTTGACTCTGCAGTTTCCACATCTCTACTTCTCTCAGTGGAAGCATAGCAAGGCTGTACAGTGTGTCAATGTACCTCTACAGCCTTGAGATAAACAGGATGCATTTGACCATCTCAGCTAGCCATCATATTAGTATATTTGGCTTAAAAACCCTTAGATATAAATGGCATCAAAACTAGTCTAGATCAGGACATTTTATTTTTTATTCTCCCTAAATAAAAGAAATATCTTCATGCACTAAGTGATCGGAAAATATGGCACTTTAGAGTTGTTGAGAACCAAGTGTCCCCATGACTGCAATCATATCAATATGAACGTATGCACTACTGTGATCACAGATGGCACTAATAACTCTCAACCATAGGACCAGTGTTTTTATTTTTAAAAAGTCGGTCACTTTTTAAAAAATATGATTGTTTTCTTACAAACCAGAATTTTATTTCATTTTTGATTGAATGCACACACAGAATCACTGACACCCACAATTTGGTTCAATTTCCTAACAAAAATGCACTTGGACAAATGTTTTATTTACAAATATGAAACTATGTTTAGTTATATTTCCTGTTGAAGCTAGTCTGAAAATAGCAACAAGTCTAGAGACTTTAGCTTTTGAGAAATAAGTGTGATTCTTTATTGTTTCAAGGACATATTTATTAAAAAATTAAAGTTTCCATAGAAAATACTGAAAGGTGTTTATAAGCAGTTATGTTTGGAGCCAAAGCTTATCAGTGGTGAAAATGCAAAAGATAACAAGCTAAATTCAGAACAACCTTCAGGCCTTAGGTGCATCACAGGTAATTTCCTGGTTCAAATCTTTATTGTCAATGCCTAACGAGGGGAGGACACTACAGTCACCAGGTAGGGATCTTCAAGTGATCACTGCAGTTGGCCACAAATCTGTAAGGTATAGATCAATACTTATTTAAAATATAGGGTTTGTACTGCTGCGGGGATACAAATAAGCCTACCTGGGTGGCCCATGGAATAAAAAAATCTGAGAAAGAGTTCTACAAAAAAATCTGGAATATGTCATATTTAAATCAATTTTGAAAATGGTTTGAAGCTACAAGGTAAGAGTGAAATATAGGCTATGAGCAATGCTTCAAAAGCAAGTCAAATATACAGAGAAAAATTAGTTGCAGTATCATCAGGGTTAGTGTCAAAAACTGTGGAAGACAGAACTCCCGAGACAGGGCCAGTGTGGTAGAGCTCTGCGTGGCAGGTTAGATTGAATCTGGTTTGTCAGAGGCAAGAAAGATGAAAAAATGTATATTTACAGGATAAAATATCACTGAATAATCAAGAATATGAAGGTAAATTGGATCATTACCTCAAATTAGGACGACTCTATAGCTATGACTGATTTTACTATTTTATCAACCATCAACACTTTTTAAATAGTCTGGCAAGACATTTTATTGCCAAACTTCCTGAAGGTAGAACTGGTGAATTGATATTCAGTTAATGAAATCATTCAATTAACGATGTTAAATAGAAAAAAAAAGTTGTACACAAATCTATGTTAAGCAAACCTTTGGAAGAATTAGAATGCATCAAAGACATTATGCCCCTGATTTCTCCAGCAACCCATGATTCTTTCCTTTCATCCAAAAATAGCTTTGAACTTCTATTCTGCCAATCACTCTGCTAGATTCTGGGGATTCAACTCTGAATAAAGCAGAGATAGTCATCTTCTTAGTCTTTACATTTATCAACAAACCACTCCAAGGCATTTTGCCCTTGATTCTTCCCAGCAAGTAAAATG